TATTTTATTCATTTATTTATTTTGTAGAGACAGAGTCTCACTCTGTCACCCATGCTGGAGTGCAGTGGCATGATCATAGCTCACTGTAGCCTCAGACTCAAGGGCTCAAGCCATCCTCCTACCTCAGCCTCCTGAGTAGCTGGGACTACAGGTGCATATCACTACACCTAGCTAATTTTGTTATTTTTTGTAGAGATGGGGCCTTGCTATGTTGACCAGGCTGGTCGCAAACTCCAGGACTCAAGTGATCCTCCCACTTCAGCCTCCCAAAGTGCTGGGCTTAAAGGCATGAGCCACCATGCCTGGTCTCATAACGTTTCTTTCCGTGACTATATTTTTACAGTTTATTATTCCTAACTACTGTGTATTAATGTATCAAGGAAAATATTTGAAGAGGAACTAAAGCTTCCCTACCTGCTTATCACTGTGATAATGACTTTAAAGAACTCTGGAAGTTCAGTGAGTCACTGAATTAACCTACAAGAAATTTCTTCTGTACAAACTTTTTTATACAGGGAAATTTTTCTTTGGATTTTTTTCCCCCTAGAACTTCATCTTACTTACAAACTATTAATAATTTTATTACATGCATGAACATAGGAGGGAAATAGCAGAACTGGGCAGTTCTGAACAAGATTATTTTACATTGCTGTAATTTGTGACCAACTAAAGCATTGCCACACTGTTGGATATTCAGAATTCAAGCACATCAAACTCGCTTTAGATATGCAGTGTTTATATAATTCATTTGAAACCTCATTTAGGAAGTCATCTGTTTTCCTTTAAAAACTGGTTTAGGCTTTACCAGCTAAAGAGCCTAAATTTAGAAACAGCGTTGGACTGCAGTCATGAGTTCTGTGCTTACTTATTCTTTGACCTTGAACAAGATCTGTCGCTAGAAGGATCAGTTTTCTTATTGTCAAATCAATAAATTAAATACATAAAATTTCATTTTATTTTTCCAGCATCTTTAAGGTCCTTGGTTGAAGTGATCAGACTTTATAATATATTGTGTCCAACTTTGCAAACAATCGCTTTGGTTTCCCTTTCAAAATCCTTTGCCTCAAAGCCAGTGACAATCCAAGTGACGGCTCTAACAGAACCAACCCTATTCATAAACCGTAGCTCTGCATCCCGGAGACTTTGAACGGTCGGAGTTGGACAAAAGCTCTTCGCTGGGAAGGCGGGGCCGGGAAGGCGGGGCCTAAGAGGGCAAGTGGGGCGGGAGAAAACGGAACTAGGTTTACGTCATTTCCGCTTGCGACGTTACCAAGGAATCAAGCGGAGCCCCGGCCGGCGCCGATTGGCAGGTGAAGGAATTGATGTCCCCTTCTTCTCAGCCTGTACCATTCCTATCCGCCTTTGTGGCGGTTGAGCCGTTCCTGTTTCAGGTCGTTAAAGGCTCCATACCGTTGACGTCCGTGCCCTATTATCCCCCTTAAGCACGTTTCATTCCCTTAAAGCCCCTCACCCCACTAGGCCTCCAGCTTTTAGTTTATAATCCTGCCTGAGGTTAACCTCTTCTCCGAGGCGTCCTTTCCTCGCCCGTGCTGAAGTTGGGTCGGTAAGGTTGAAAAGCCTTCTCGTTGCCCA